GGTTAGCGCTGCTCGCGTCTACTTTACTCTCCGTGCTCACTGCCCCCACTCTTACGCATGCTGCTACTCCTACTTGTCCGTATTCCCCATCGCCCTCCTGAGCGCATTTTGGTCCGTTCGCACCCCTGCCTTCCCTCATCCTATCACCCCTAATGCTCATCTCCGTGATTGGTCTCCGTTTCGTTCTCGATCCCATTCCCTTTTATCAGAAAGTCTTTGGCATTCGTCCGTTTGTGACTTCCGCCAGCTCATGTTCCTCTTCGCGCGTGTTACCGCATCGTCCTCCCTCTCCTCATCCATCCGTTTCCTTTCTTCCTCACTCCTGCTTCTTCCTCTGTTCGCTCCCCGCTTCTCCGTCGTATTCTCTTCGCCTTCTCCCTCTCTCTCTCTCTCTTCGCCTTCTCCCTCTCTCTCTCTCTTCGCCTCTTCCCTCTCTCCGTCATTTTCTCTTCGCCTTCTCCCTCTCTCTCTCTCTCGTTCGTTCTCTCCCTCTCTCTACATGCAAGCGGCGCTGTTCCCCGCAGGGCAAGCCCAACGCTTGAGAGCCATCCCGCAGACACGAGAAGCCACCGAACCATGTGAGTTCCCTTGGACGCGTGGGGTTTCTGGGGTGCGGATCCCCCCCGACCGAGAATCAACCCTGGCGCCCCGCAGGGCTCCGAATGCCAAACATCCCAGCGAATTCACATGGTTCGCGACGCCCCAGAAGCCCAAACCATGTGATGTAATTGGGTTGCTTGGGGTTTTTGGTGTGCTACTCCCAGCAACCAAATGATTTGCATTGGATGCTTGAGATTCCTGGGATGGATGTCCCACCCTCCGGCAAACAAAATAGCCCGGAGCACATAATGCCAAGCATCCCACTGCACTCACGGGGCTCGCGACGTCAGGGAAGCCTCAACCCTGTGATTTCATTGGGATGCCTGGGATTTCTGCGGCGCTAGCCCCAGGGACCATACCAATTGATGGGATCCTCTATGGTTCTGAATCCTGGATTCCCATGGCAGATTTTTCGGAGAGGGGGGATGGGAAACCAGAGGGATCCCAAGCATCCCCGTGAAACCATAAGCTTTTTCATCCCCGTGAAACCATAAGCTTTTTCAATGAATCGCACCTCCGAGATCCAACGCATCCCAGTGAAATCACTGGGATTTGGGCTCCCCTGACGTCACGGACCCTGTGAAGTCGTTGGGATGCTTGGCATTCGGAGCCCGTGGGGGGTTGCAGTGCAGATTTTTGTTGGAGGGGGGAACCCTATGAATCCCAAGCGCACGCATCCTAGTGAACTCAAAATGGTTTCTCGGATTGGCATCCCAGAAATTGCTAACATCCCGCTGAAATCACAGGGTTTGGGCTTCTCTGTCATCGCGAACCATGTGATTGCACTGCGATGCCTGGCATTCGGAGCCCTTGGGGGGCCCCGTGGTAGATTTTCGGGGAGAGATTGACATTGTGCTCGTCCTGGCGGTGGGTAGCTTCACTGCGCCTGGCCTTCACACTGCCCACCTGCCTGCCGCACCCACGCGTGCCAGGGGAGGAGATCATGTAGGCTGCGCCCGCATCCACCGGGGCCTCGTCAGGACGTGGGGGATCTGAGCGGCATCCGCTCGGGTACCTCCTGGAAAGCGATCAGACGCGAAACGAGCAGGGTGCGCCGACAGAGGTGGCCACATCTGAGGCGTTGTGCCGCCCGACGCGCGCGCAGAGCCCCGTCTATCATGAGGCGAAGCGTCGGCACAAGATGCACTGCCGCAGCGCTTGCCGCGGTGCGGTGCGGCCGTCCCCTTCCCCCTGCTTGACACGAGAGCGCGCGCGGCAGAGGCTTCGCTCGGCCGCGATGGTCGCGATCGTCCTGAACTGGTCCCCGCGGGCACCCGGCAGGCTCCGCGGCATCCGGGGGCGTCCACAAGGGGAGTGAGGACTAGGGCTTAGGGAGGTTGCGCGGAGATCCTGGCCAGAGCCATGACATCTCCCAGGCTTCATGGCCCCCTCCTCTCCGATCGACATGTCCCCTGGCCCCCCTCCCTCGTCCGTTCTCATGCCGCGGGTCATGACCCCCCCCCCTTCTTTCTAATTAGCCCCCCTCTGCGGCACCCGACCTGGGCGAGGCGCCCGAGTCGGGCGTCGACTTCTCGGCTCCATCGCGGCTGACAGCCGCACACCAAGGGCGCGGCCGCCTTCGTGCCCTTTGGGTCCACGCCTGACATGGCGGACTGCGGCTCTCGTGTTCCCTCGGAGCGGAGGTGGTTCAGCGCGCCGATCGGGGAACCGCGGGCACGGACCGGGTCCCTGGTGCTGGCGGGGCGTCGCGACGAGGAGCACGGCTGGTTCGGAGGGGGTTCGTCGTTCCATGTCTTTCTCCACGTGAGGCTCCCTGGATAATCATCATGAACATCAGCAGCAGCATCATCATCATGGTCTTCAAATCCACCCCAGATCTTCAAATCCACCCCAGGCGACGCACTCAAAGCTCGCCTCCGCCTGCACTGGCCCGACGCCCTCGACGACGTCGACGGCATCGACTTCACGGACCTCATAACATCATGAAGAGGAGCCACGTTCGGATCGCCAGCTCTTGCTTCAAGATGTGGATGGGGGGATGGACGACATCGGCGAGACTCCACGAGGCAGTCGTTCACCCGTGCCTCTTCGGGTGTTCCGCCCGGGACGAGTGGACTCATTATGCTGACTGTTTCCCACTCTGGTCCACCGTTTTCAGCCTTGTCGGGAAGCTTCCACCACCCAGGCATTTCGATACACTCGCCCTGAATGCGTAGACCTCCAAGGAATTAAACACGATTTTCATCGCATTTGAGACGTACCACAAGATGAAGCACTCGCACCTCAGCGACGCCCTCCGGCATACACAACTACGACAGCATGATGAACTTAGTGACCTGACAGACCGCCTTGCACACGCGGCGTCGCGCCTCTGTCGCTAGAGCGTGACGTTGCGCCGCAATGTTACCGGCATCATCATCATCATCAGCATCATCATCATCATCATCATCATCATCATCATCATAATCATAATCATTATCAGCATCATCAGCACCATCATCCGCAGCATAATCATCATCTGAGTGTCAGCACCATCATCATCACCATCAACATCATCATCATCGTCATCGCCACCATCAGCAATCATCAGCACAAGCATCAGCATCGGCATCATCATCATCAAAATCGTCACCGTCGTCATAGTCATCGCCATTATCATCGTCATGATCATGATCAATCTCCTTCTCGACAGCATCATCACCGTCATCATCACCATCATCATGGTCATCATCATCGTGGTCGTCGTCGTTACCATTTCCACCAGCATCGTCATGAACATGATCATCTCTACCATCACACTTATCATCATCACCACTAACATCATGATGATTAGGATCATCATGATCATCCTTATCATCATTCTTCGCACCAGGATCATCATCCTCATCATGGTCGTCATCACCATCACCACCCCCATCATCATCATCATCATCATCATCATCATCATCATCCTCACCCTCATCATCATCATCATCGTCATCATCACCACCATAATCATCATCACCATCAGCATCATCATCCTTATGATCTTCATCATCCTCATCAGAGTCAGCATCATCGTCATCATAGACATCTTTGTCATCGTGATCACGATCACCACCACAATCTTTCATATTCGTCGTCATCATCACCACCATTTTCTTCACCACCATCATCCACATCGTCATCTTCACGACCACCAGCAACACCAGCATCGACAGTATCATCAGTATCGCCATCATGATCATCACAGTAATCATAGATTCGGAATCATCGTCACCGTAGTCAGCAGCATCGTCACCATCATCATGATTATCATCCTCGTCATCATCATCATCATCATCATCATCATTATCATCATCATCATTACTATCATCATCAGCACCACCACCATGCTCGACATCATGACCATCACCACCATCATCGTTGTCGTCATCGCCGTCGTCCACCTCCGCCTCGTCCACATCCCCATCATCCTCATCATCATCATCAGCATCATCATCGACATCATCATAGAATTCATCAGCATCATCGCCATCATAGTCATCGCCATCATCATCTTCATCTTCGCGATCATCGACAAAATCATTATCATTGCCAGTCTCATCATGATCGCCATCATCGTCAGCATAATCATTGTCGTCATACTCATCATCAGCATCATCATCGTCATCGCCACCACCCCCATCATCGTCGTCGTCATCGTCGTCGTCCTCCTTGTCCTTCCTGTCGTCATCATCATCATCATCATCATCATCATCATCATCATAATCACCATAATCATCATAATCATTGTCATTATGCTCCTTCTCCGTCGCTTTCCTCCTCCGCTATCCTCATTCCTCCTCGTCCTTCACACTCCTCCTCCTTACCCTCTCCATCCAAATTCCTCTTCCTCCTCCTCCAAGTGCCCTTCCTCCGGTCCAGGCCCAGATGGTTCAGCGTGTCGGGGCCTGGCGTGTTCCCGTTCTGGTCCATGAAGCACTCCTCGTGGATGCAGCCGGCGATCGAGAAAGGCACCGAGGTGTTGCTGATGCCGCAGTCCGAGGGTTGGCTGCGAGAGGCTCGCGGCCGCGAGAGAGGGTGAGGAGGGGGCGGATAGAGACGGAGAGGGAGGGAGGGAGGAACGGAGGGAGGGAGAGAGGGAAGGCGGGAGGGAGGGGGGAGTGAGAGAGGAGGGAGAGAGGACTGAGGGAGGGGGAGAGGGAGGGAGGGAGAGGGAGTGAGGGAGAGGGAGTGAGGGAGAGAGGAGGGCGGGAGGGAGGGAGGGAGGGAGAGAGGGCCCCCCCATCATCCGCACCACTTCAGTTCACCCCGCCGTCCTCCAGGCTCCGCCCTGCCCTCTCATGGCAGGCAGGTGACCGAGCTGGAGCTTCAGCTGGGCGGCGCTCTCCCTCTCTCTCTCCTTTGTTGACTCCGTTTCGGCTGACGGCCGTGCAGGATCCATGAGTGTCGCAATG